CCAACCTCAGGCAAGGAGGCCCCGTCGGCGGGGGGGGGGATCCAACTCCCGTCCTCTGGCTCCGCAGCCGGAGACCTCAACCACAGAGCCCTCCAGATGGAAGAGGCAGTCTTTTCCTAACTGCACAGGTGTCTCCGTGAGAAACTTATGAAAACCTGCCCCTCTTGCCCCCCCCGCCCGCCTGCCCGCCTTCCGGTGCAGGTTGTGCCAACTCATCCTCTGGCGACCGCTAGCCTGGCCCTGTTTCCATGGAAACGGCTGCCTCCCCCAAGAGCAGCTCCACCGCTGATCAGGAGGGAGGAGGGGATTTGCGTCATTGTAGCATCAGTGCATGCGTGCGCGTGTGTGTGCGCGCACGTGCATCGAAGAGAAGGGACCCTGTGGATGCTTTCCTCCTTAGAACGCATGGCAAAACCCTCTTGTTAGCGTACAGGGCCAGGCCTACAAGGAGGCTGAGTGAGTGAGTGAGTGTATGTATGTATGTGTGTGCACGCGCACACATGCGCACACATGTATGCATGCATGTGGTGCCTCAGGCACAGGAGCTGACATGACGATGAGACAGAGAGCTGAATGTCGCCCATGAATGTCGCCCTGCAGCATGGAAGTAAAAGACAGTAGCTGTCGATCCAAGCCTGCCTAAGGCTTTGTGTTCGTTGGGGTTGCTCCTGACTTTGTCCCCCAGCCCCACACCCCACACACCTGAGATGCCTATTTGGCTGAGAGGGAATGTAAGAGAGCAGCTTCTGAGCAGCTTCTGCCAGACTGTGGAACTCCCTGACACAGTCCCTGGGGCTGATCCCCTCCCCATTGTCCTTCCATGATCAGTCCTTTCGATTCCCGAAGGCCTCTGGCAACAGATTGCGGAATGTGTTGTTAACAGAGTAGTGGTGTTACTGTGGTATTTTTCTTTTCTGTTGTCCTTTAAAAGGATTTTGAATTTGGATGATATTTTGATATGTTGATCCCTTTGATGGTGTTTTAACGTTATGTCTTGTTGGTCAGTCACATGAATAAGCTTTCCTCCTGTCCTCAAAGGCTGTGAGGTGAGCCTAACCTTGCCCTCCAGTGTGACTGGCTTTTGGTCACGGGTGCAGAATGGGGAGAGGACATCGTCCGGTCCTCAAGCAAAACGTTTGGAAATAGCAAAATATTTAAGTGGAAGCCATAGTATACCGGTCGTGCCAAAAACATACATGTAAATATATGAAAACGTCATGTTTTCTGTCTGCACAAAAGGACGGCTAGATTTATGGGTGTGAGCAACTCTGGAGGCAAGGAGGAGAGAAAGGAAAGCAAGAAGTGGGGGGGGGGAGGAAAGGAAAAAGAAGAAGGGGATGAATTGTTCCTGAGCTTGAGCAAACTACAGCCCTCTCTCTGGATGGTACGGATCATTCCTTCCTCACACCTGTGGCTCTGCCAACTGGGTCTGATGGGATCCACACATCTGGAGGGCCACACTTGACTCACTTGGGGTTTAGCCATCTCGACTTCCTTGCCAACTGGGGCCACATCAGTATTGGAAGAGCTCTATCAGTCCCCTTATTTTTTTGGGGGGGGGAAGAATTTCCTTTGAGATGCATCCACCTTACATGAGCTGTTAGCTGGCACCGAAGCATGGATGACTCTGCCTCCCGGCAACTCTCGTAACTGCCTAAAACATTTTGATTCCTGATTCTGAAAATTAGAGGGTGCAGATATTATTTGCTGCTTCCATTTTTAAAAAAACACACCACCTCTGGTGGGCGTTGGCAAACCATTCTGTTTGTACCATACGTGTTTGACTTTTCAGGTTTGTTATCCTGCACGTAACCCAAAGTAAACAGTTACTGAACATGCTGGTATAATGGTGAGTGTACTTTTTTATACAATAAAGAGAATATTGCCAGTTCCTTTTATCTCCAGAATAGCTTTTCAGCTCTATCATACAGGATATTAGAATTATAGGTTGCTAAGAACATATGGAGAGATCAGATAGCAAATTACCACTGTTTATATCAAGTGGGAAATGGCCCTGTCCAAAAGCTGGTCCTGATTTGACTAGCCCCTGGGCAAAGGCAGGTGGTGCTTAGGTAGAGCGCTGCATGGCCAGAATCAGCCTGTGTGTGACCGATGGTTTCAAGCATGGCCAAATATTGCCAGCTAAAAGATCTGTCTTGCTGCACAGACATAGAACGAGGGCTTAGAAGAGGACTTCCTTTTCTGGACTAGGAGCTCTCAGAAGGACAGCACCCTTCATGGTCTGCCCTAACTGAGGCAAGCAGATGGCTTTAGGCTCCCAAAAGTAGTTTTCCTCGGCTCTGCTTCAGTGGCAGTGGAAGCTCCTCCTCTCCTTACAGGTTGCAGCTGGCTGTGTGCGAGAAGAGCTTTACGCCAAAATGCTTAGGCTTTTGTAGGAAATGTGGGAAAGAGGTGCTTGCAGTTTTTGCATATGCATATGTCTCTGTATTACTGGTCCGATCATTTTAGCTATCTGACTGCAGAGCCGGAGGCTGGGATTTCAGTTCGCCATGCATCTCCTGGGTGCAGAGCCAGCCTTTGGAGCTTTGAGCAAGCTGCACAGTCCCAGGGTGCACACACGTGCGCATGCACATCTCCAACCCCAGGTAGTGGGCTACAGTTCCCATCATCCCAAGCATGGGGGGTCAGGGTGGAAGTCGCAGGCAACATGCCCCGTCTGCCCTAAAAATGACAGGAGAAAAAGTGGCTCTTCACTTTCTCCTCTGTGGTTCCCATCGCCGGAGGACAGTGGACGCCTGTGCACTTGCCTGCCTCCCCCCCCCCCCCCGGTGGGGAACTGGGACGGCTGCGCTAGCCTCTCGGGTTTGGCTCCTGATTTGCAGTTTGCAGGTGGTGGTGGTGGTGGCAGCAGCAGCTGTGCGGCGCTCCATATGCCAAGCGTAAGAATCCTGTTGTCTAGCCAGGAATGGGCAGCCATGAAATCCCCTGTGGGGAATGGACTGAAAGGGGCCTGGCTCGACCAGAAGGTTGTGTGGATCTGGTTCTGGTACCTGTGATGCTCCTCGCGATGGGTTCAGCCGTGGAATGGCAAGGGGACGAAGGGTGGCTTTTGAGAAGGGGCGCGCAAGGCCCCAGGTTGCGAAAGGCCCCGTAGTCAACAGCCCTGCTTAGGCTTCGCACATGTTCCGGAGAAGATGAATCCCCTTTTGGGGCTCCTTGTTACTGTAGAGCTGAAGTCCATGGGATGAACATCCTAGAAAACACCTTTAGCTACTGGGTGGTGGTTTCTTGGCGCAGCCTACCTGGAGCGGCCCCCTCTTTCCCCCTCTAGTAACACCCCTGTGTGGAAGGGTTAGGGTGGACCCCAGGCCCCTCGGTCGGCTGCCGACGAGTGCTGGGAGCATATGACACACACACACACACACGGGACGTTGGGTTGCCCCTTTCTGGTGATGCATCACTGGAGAGATGCCTCCCAGGGGCATGGAAGATGGTGATGGAAGAGATGACAAGTAACCTCTGGTGAGGTATTTCTGGGGCCAGAACGAGGCGGCAGAGGACAGATTCTTGATCCAGCCTGCCACTGATAGGAAAAAAAGTCTCTTTGGAGGAAGTTCTTGGACTGTTCTCTCTCGGCTTCCACGCTGTTGGCTGTGAGGCAGCTACGGATAATGTCCTGCGTGAATCCATTTTGGTTCTCAAGGCGAGAGGGTCCCTTATGTGTCCCTGAATTGTTTTGCAGGTGAAACAAATCATGGAGGAAGCTGTTACAAGGAAATTTGTCCATGAGGACAGCAGCCACATCATTTCCTTTTGTGGTAAGTCCTCAGACTAAAAGCAGACGCATGGAGGAGGGTTTCATTGGAGCGCTGCCTCTTTAGAGGCTGACCCATCGGAGAGGAGGGTGCCTGCTTCCAGGGGCTCCACCCGTCGCCTCCACCTCCTGCTCAGCCGCCTTCAAAGTCATTTGGGTGTCTGAAAATTAAACGTGGGGTGGGGGACCATTGGCAGGGAAATTTTGCATCATACTCTGTTAAATAGCGACTGTCATTGTTTGTTTGTTCGTTCATTAGTTCCTTGCCTGTGTATCCTACTCTTTGCCATGAGAGTTCAAAACAGCTAATAATCTATACAAAACAAACAGACACGGGGAATATAATTTGTCTTGAGACTGTGTCGGTCTTTGTCTCCTTTCTGATAAGATAGTTGAGGTCCCAGATTCTGTTTTTCAGTTCTCCAACCCAGACGCTCATAGGTTGCTCTCTCCTGTTGTTATTCTGTACTTTGTCCTTTTGTTTCTTCATGTTGGATGCAAAAAATCAGTAAAAAAATTTGTGGAAGCACTTGTTCATATGTAGAAGAACCAACTATGAAGATGAAAATATATTTTTGGACTACACAGCCAGAGTGGGTGGCTTATATACATAGAACCTTACACCATAAAAACACCCCATGTCCCCCCCATCACCTCCTCCAAAGCAGCAGCTGGCTGAGGAGGTGGAGGAGGCCTGACTGGGCACAGGCTATGCCCTTCTCTCAAAGGCACTGTCAGGTTTCTCCTCAGCTGGAGGGCAGGCCTGGCTTCTTCCCTGCAGCAGATGGAAGTTTAAGATGGACGTCCCTTGCCAAGCTCCCTCGGCTACGCTGGCAAGGGACGGTCTGCTCAATGTCCCTGACTAGCATAAGAAGGTTGGTGGGACATCAGAGGAGCCTCCGCAAAGAGTGGAAAAGCGATCCACGGGCCCTCGTCCACCCCCTGGGCAGCAGCCTTCCACTGTGCATGTCCATCGTTTCAAACCGTGCCAGCCATGCTGTCGTGCACGGGAAGGAAGGAAGAAGTACGAGGGGCAGCTGTGGGAGGAGGGGGGTGCTTTCTGCCGCATCTTTGCTTCTTCCTTGCCTTTTAAGGGCTGTTGCCTCACTTCCTAAAGCAAAGGCGTGGCCAGTCCTCCTCGCTTGCCACATCCGGTTAGGCTGGCACAAGATTAAGGTGGGAGACTCAAGTGCCCCCCCCCCCGGTTTTGTTCCTTGGTTCCCAGCGGCTCTGGTTTGTCTCCCGTTAAGGACAGAGCACTTACCTGACAGGCTTTGTATTCATCAGCAAAGCACCACCTCCACCTCAGCAGGGCCTCCTGCCTGCCTGCCATGGCCAGCTCTCTGGCTGGGGCTCCAGAAAAGGAATGGGGCTAGCCCCTCATGTAGTGTCCGACCCAGCCTGGCCCCCATGCGGTCTTTCTGGCTGGCCCGTCCCAGGCCAGAAGGGATGTTTCCACAGAGCTTGGAACAATACTGTTCAAAAGTAAACCCTTGTCGTTACTTATCGTTTCTTACACTTTATGAACTAATTTGCTGCAATTAACTTGTTAACAGTGTTTGAGACATAATTCTTGTAAGTGTTGATTATTATTTCATTTCTTTTCCCTTTTTCAAATAAAAACTCTTTTAAGATTGGTAAAAGAATGGCAAAACACTCCAGAAATGCCAGTCAAATGCTCCTCAAAAAGCGTTCTGGAAGAGTAATGGGAGAGCCTAAGCCATGGCCACAGTCGGGCATCTTCATCCTCCCACCCTTTGTGACTGTTTTCCACTCTCACGTCACATAAGGGTGGCCTTAGGATGGCTCTGGAGGGCCCTGGGGTTTCCAGGTGGCTGCTACCAGCCTTGTGTTGCAGTGGTGAAGCTGCAGGAGCCCATCCAAGGGTCTGCTCGTGACCTAAGCTCTATGGCAACAGATTGAGGAGCCAGCTCAAGGTGGACTCAGCCTTCCATCCTTCTGAGGGGGCTAAATGGAGTATCCAGCTTGTCGGGGGGGGCAAGGCAAAGTGTAGCCCCCAGTCATGGCTGTTCCTGACCACCGTTCCTGGTAGCCAGGGCGGGAGGTCAGGTCGCGTTTCCTCTGCTTCCTTCTCCTCCCAGCTGCCGTCGAAGCCTGTGTCCTTCACGGCCTCAAGCGGCGGGCAGCTGGTTTCCTGCGCAGCAACAAGATCGCGGCTCTGTTCATGAAGGTGGGGAAGAGCTTCCCACCCGCGGAAGAGCTCTCTCGGAAGGTGCAGGCCCTGGAGCAGCTCCTGGAGAACGTGTAAGTCCTGGCCAGGCCGGCTGAAGAAGAGGAGGAGGAGGAGGAGGAGGAGCTGAGCTGGAGCTGGGGAGGTCAACCCTCCAGAGCTGTGCGATTTCATCTCTCCTCCAGTTACTGGTTGACATAGTGGGGGGGGAGGGGGGAGAGGGGAGAAAGAGAGAGGGAGAAAGAGAGAGAAAGGCTAACCCTTTGGAATGGGGAGAGAGACAGAAGCAGGGAAAAGACCCACTGGCTGTGTGCCTGACTGGAAGAAGCCGAGTTCTGCAGCCTGCCATTTAACCCAAGCCACGTCAGTTCATGATTCCTCATTATTGTCACTTTCCTTTCAAATCACTGTAAGTGTGGCTAAATACATACACAAATAGATATATGCTTCAGAAGTAGATCGCTGCCTTCGGTTTGCAGAGCGTCTGTGTGGAGATCCAGGCAGACTCAAGATGATTCTGCCTCTTCCCTTTTTCTCTCCTCAGGCGGAACCAGGGACCAGGCGTCCAGGAGAACCCCCGCAAAGTCCAGAAGCTCCCCAACTTATCCCCACAGGCGATCAGGCACCTCTGGATCAGGACGGCGCTTTTTGAGAAGGTCCTGGATAAAATTGTACACCACTTGGTGGAAAACAGCAGGTAGAGACCACCCCCTCCTCCTGCTCCCCTTTTCTATGTTTCCCTTTGGCCGCAGTTCCCAAAGAAAGAAAGAGAGAGAGGGAGAGAGAGAGAGAGAGAGAGAGAGAGAGAGCATTTCATGGCTCTCCAGGGAGGCCTGGATCCTCCCAGGTTCCTGTTCTGACACCCAGTAAACACCTCACTGGAGTTGTTTCCCTCACATCCTGCTTGTATGCTTCCTGTGAGTTTGCCATTGTGGCTACATGAGTCCGAGGCAGGCAGGCCTTCGGGCCTAATCCAGCACAGCTATCCATACATCTCTGTACCCTTGTTTCTCTTTACAGTAAATACTATGAGAAGGAAGCATTGCTGATGGATCCTGTCGACGGCCCCATCCTGGCTTCTTTGTTAGGTAATGCTGCTTTTTGAGGCAAAAGCCATCGAAACATCCAGGAAGTGGGCTTTTCTGAAGTGTGGTTGAGCAGAAGGTGCGATTAATGGACAGGACCAACATTGGGGCTTCAAGATTTTGGGTTCTTTTCGTATAAGTATTTGCAGCTGGAGAAGGGAGGGTTTGCCACCTGATCTTTGTTAGCTATCAGATTGGTCTGGCATTGATGTGGCCCAAAGTGAACAGAAAAAACATTTTGATGAGTCAGTGGCAGCATGTGGACTTTTAAAACCCCAGCTTTTAAAAACGAGGTGCCCTGGGCAGGGCGATAGAATTGAAAAGCCATGGGGAAAGGAGCATGGCCGGTCCAGAGGAAAAGCCTGATTGGATGAAATCTGACGGCCTGGGGTTCTTCCTCTCCCCCCCCCCCGATTCCAGGATTTCCCCAATGTTCAGTTCAGCATCTCTTGAAGTCCCCCAGCACTGCAGTCTATGGTGTTGGGCCAGTTCTGATCTGAAGCAGAAGTAGGGGGTGTGGATGAGTGCGCTTGAGGCATGACTGCTCTCCTGCCTGCCTGCCTGCCTGCCTGCCTGCCTTCACGATAATCCTCTTCTCTCTCCAGTGGGACCTTGTGCACTGGAGTACACCAAGATGAAGACGGCCGACCACTTCTGGACAGACCCTTCGGCGGATGAACTGGTGCAACGCCATCGGATCCATAGCTCTCACTGTCGCCAAGACTCGCCCACAAAGCGCCCTGCTCTCTGTGTAGGTCTCTCAGGGAGTGGGACTTTGGGATGATGTGGTGGTGGTGGTGGTGGGCAGAGGGGCTTATTCTGTATGTGGGCATGGGGGGTGCAGGAGGTTTGCAATGTGGATCAAGAGTGGGGAAGTTGTCTTGAGAACAAGTTGAGAAGTCTCTCTCTTTTCTCTCTCTCTCTCTCTCTGGGAGTATTTACACCACATCCTTTGGATTTCAGTAAGAATGCTGCAGGTAGTCAATCACATGCTTTGGGGACCTGGGTTTAGTCCCTGGTACCTAATCTCTGCTGGCAACAACCCATGCTCAGGTCTGGGTTTTCCAGCTTCTGCTCCTGGAGTTCGACCAGGGTCAAAGTCAGAGGTCCAAAATATGAAGAGCTAGGCAAGGGGTTCCCGGCTTTCTGAACATGAAACCATGGCTGGGCATTACAGGTGAATGGGCCACAGGCCAAAGGGTGCCTCTCCTTTTTCTCCTTCCTCTTGACAGACAGGTACCATCAGTGCTGTATGTGACACTAGGCAAGGGGTTCCCGGCTTTCTGAACATGAAACCATGGCTGGGCATTACAGGTGAATGGGCCACAGGCCAAAGGGTGCCTCTCCTTCTTCTCCTTCCTCTTCTTCTTCTCTTTTAATGAAAGAGGGAACTATGTGAAGTGGGGGAGGGCACAGAGCTATGCAAGGGAGGGTTCTCTTTTTGGTATTCTTCTCCTAGATGAGCATTTGAATATGTATTTCTTCATTGTCACGGTGGGCTTTTTAGACGCATGGGAAGCCCACAGACGCCGCCTGTTCATGAGCATTTGCAGAGCTTTGAACAGGCCCACGCTGGCTGGGGATGCTGGGGGTTCTGGTCCAAAGAACTCAACTTCCCCAAGGTCTGGGGAGGCAGGTGACATCATCTGCAGGTAGCGCCTCTGAAGAGGGAGACGTACCCGGTCTCAAACCTTGTTGGGCCGCAGCCGCCGTTCAGTGTTGGCGTTACAGGGGCAGATGGGTGCTTAAGAGTCTGGTTCAGCATAAGGTGGTGGTCCAGACCCCTTTCTGGGCATTGGCCTGGTCTAGGGAGCACTCCTGACCCACATCCATCTGCTGCCATCACTGTCTCTGGAGAGCACCATTCCTAGCGGGAAACCCAGTTCTCCAGAGGCCACTGCAGAGGAGCCCGGCTTCACCCCAGACTCTGCCCCTTTTGAGGGTAGACTCTCAGGTGGACCTCTCGGAGTGGAGAAGGCGCAGCTCCTGAAATCCTCCTGTAATGACCAACCCCTAAGGCGTGAGGAGAGTCCTCGGAGGGACTGAGCCTGACCTGTTTTCTCTCCTGCGGGATTTCTCCAGATCCAGAAGAGGCATTCGAGTGGCAGCATGGATGACCGCCCATCTCTCTCAGCTCGAGATTATGTGGAGTCGCTCCACCAGAACTCCAGAACCACCCTCTTGTATGGCAAGAACAACGTCTTGGTGCAGCCGGTGAGTCTCCAGTCACCGGGGGGTGGGTGGCCTTCACTCCCAAGGGAGCAGGCTTGTTGCTCTTGGGGTCTGCACTTGCTAGCTAAGCGGGGAGATGACAGTGAACTCCTTTGAGTTAAGGACTCCGATAGGACCCCCTCCTCTTCTGCCCCCTTGGGCAGCCAAATCTGCGGGTTCTGGCAGATTCTTCTTTTTTAAAGAAGTATGGAAATGAGTGCTTTTTGCTGTGATGTAGAAACGGGTCTTCTGCTATAGCTAAAAGAATAATTGAGAGGAATAACGGAAAAGCTAGAGGGTGGGGTGAGGCCTTCCTTGCCAGACACTGGCAGCCTTCGCTCAGCGGCCTCCTGGGCTTCCAAAAGGGTGATAGGGCTCCCATTCTGTTCCTTAGTCACAAGGGCCAGAAACATACCCCTTAAAATGTACGTGGATCTACAAGATGCCAGACTCATCCCCAGCGTTGACCAAGGACTCTCCCTCCTTTTCCTTTCCTTTCTTGTTCTCTCTCACGTCCTAGCGCGATGATATGGAGGCGATTCCGGGCTATTTGTCTCTTCATCAGGCTGCTGACTTCATGACACTGAAGTGGACCCCAAACCAGCTGATGAATGGCTCTGTCGGAGACCTAGATTATGAGAAAAGGTGATGCTCTTCTCCCTTTGGTCTTCATGAGACACCTGGTAATAGGACATGTTGCCTTACCTCCCAACTACACTCTAACTGTGGTGGAATGAGGTTTTTTTTGGAAAGCCAATATTGGAAAAAATGTTTCCAATATTTTGAAAAGCCAACAGCGCCCATAGGGAAGTCGCGGTAGGAACCATTGGGAGATTTTCTGCCTTCCTTATTTCACCACATTTAAATCTGTTTCTTCCTCACTTTTCTGGAAGCCTTACATTCGGAGATAATGCCAAATATCCCAGTAACAAATGCAAAATATGAAGCCTGTGTGGCTACAAAGAACTTGGAGCACAATGACAGAATGAAAAATGGGTGTTTCTGCTTTGGGGAAGCACCTTTTACGTTAGGCATCTTCCCAGAATGTTTTAGAGATAGGCTTCCTGTTCCGCTGATTTTCCCCATGGGTTCGTTAGGGCAGGGGTTCCCAACTTGGGGGGTCCCCAGATATCTTGGATTATATCTCCCAGAAGCCTTCGCCACTCGCTGTGCTGGCCAGGGTTTCTGGGAATTGTAGTCCAAGACCATCTGAGGACCCAAGTTGGTCAGGGTGTCCAAGGGCGCTCTCCTGCCGGGATGGCTGAATGTCTGGGGAGAACAGCCACACTTCCCAAGGCCATGTGGGAGCTCTGCCTCCCCTCCACGGCCCCGTCTGTGCTGCAGTTGCGGTTCTCCTGTTCACGCCTTACGATTGGACAGGTTGAGAAAATCCCAGGTGTACAAACCAAGCCGTGTGAAGGGCGAAGGCCCCTTCTTTCGCCTTTCTAGTCATGGTGTTGTTGACGACAGGGAGGTTTTCAGGGCTTGCTCTTCTTGGCCAACCCGCTGATTCTGTGTCAGCCCAAGGGCGATTCACGGTGAGCCTCCCACTGCCTCCCCCAGCCTAAAGCTGCCTTCCATCCTCCCTGAGAACGCAGCTTCCCGAGCAGAGCAGGTGTGGCTGCATCTCTTTTGTTTAGTCGCAGAGAATGTGGACCCAGCTGGCCTTCCCTCAAGGGGCAGGTCTCAAGCCAGCCTCTTCTCTCTTTCTGTCTCTGTATACTATGTTCTCAGGCACACTGGACATTTTTAAGTGTGTGCCAGGGAAAAAGGGGAGTATTGGGAAGCCAACCTTTGCATCATCTAGAGAGCCTCCCCCTTTTCGGTGTCACCTGGAAAATCCTTCCAGCTGGTGGCACCTGCCCTGCCCTTCGGGGTCAAGGGGTGGGGCCCCAGGAGTGAATCAAAAAGGAGGGCAGGCTGCCAAGGGTTGGAGGGCACCGGTGGCTGCCTGCCAGGGCGTGGCAGGGGGAGGAGGGCAGGCTGCCAAGGGCTGGAGGGCACTGAGGATGCTGCTGCGGTGGCTGCCTGCCAGGGCGTGGCAGGGGAGGTGCGTCTCGGCACCCTGAGGCTGCATAAACTGTTCCTGTTGAGCATTTCCTACCCTTGGGGCCTTTTGAAGCCGGGCACATCTTGCTGTGGAGCAGCCATCGAGGACGCCTGCTTCATCAGGGCTCCAGAAGGTGACCCTTTTGGGTTGCTACTCCCAGAAATAACCCCAGTCCGTCTGGCTGGGGGGAGATTAAGACGGCTCGGCTAGGCTCCTGTTATGTTTTCACTGGGCAGCAACATAAAAAAACAAAGAACAAGATTCTTTGGGGAATGGGGGGGAGAAATATAATTAATTTAACTGATAGTTAAGGAACGTCGTCCGTTGTGTGTGCTTCTCAAGTGCTTTGTGTTCTGCATTTGCCCTTCACTTTATTGGCCAGTGGCCGGAGGACAGCAGCCTCCGGCTGGGCTGTTCTAAAGCTCTTTGGAGTCCCAAGAACGGTGGAGTGGGGAGAAGTGGGGAGAAGCCAGCGGCCTGGCCCGTGTAGCCCAGGTGCCCCCTGCTGGCCATGTGGCAGGACTGCTCTTGCATGGCACGCCTCCTGCCCGCGGATGCCTGGCCCCGGACGGTGCCTCTCTAGAGCCAGAAATGTTGTTGCTGTTGCTCTTTCGACTTACACGCGCACCCCATAATGTCCCCCATGGGGCTGTGCCTTAGGGCTTCTGGTTGTTTTGAAAGCTCCAAAGGGATCTGGTGGAACTCTGCCCCAAATGTAGTGTGGATTTTGAAAATAATTTTTATTATTTGGTGCAGCGTAATGGCCGCTTTGGACATTTTTAAACAAGGGATGGTTGGCTATGGGAAGCTCTCTTCCGGTTGCAAGGAAACAGGTTTTCCTAGGAGGCCAAGGGTGCAGGGCAGAGCAAGGAGGCCGAGGGGGGCGTGACCTGTTCTGTCCTTCCCTCTCTCGCAGCATCTACTGGGATTACGCCATGACCATCCGCCTGGAGGAGATCGTCTATCTGCACTGCCACCAGCAAGGTAAGGTGGCGGCCAGCCTCCCGGTCCCCCTCCGTCCTTTCCTACCCCCTGCGTCCTCTGGAAGCGTCCCGCTCCGTGTCTCCTCGGTGCAGCTGGTTCATGGGTGTTGTGGGTCGCCTGCTCTTTCCGGAGGGCTCGGGGGTTCAGCCCAGGTGCAGGGCCGCAGGTGTCCTTCCCTCAAGTCCTAGGTCCACTGTTTAAGCGAGGGCGGTACCTTTGACTGAACAAGGACTAAGGACCAAGAGAGAGAGAGAGAGAGAGAGAGAGAGAGAGAGAGAAAGAGGGTAACTTCAGCTGTGCTGGAGTGCAGTTCCCATCACCCCCAGCCGGCATGCTTCTGGGGATAATGGAATTGCAGTCCAGTATGTCTGCAGTGGGTCATGATGGGAGAGGCTGCTCTCTGGCCTTGTCAAGGGGAGTGGGGTGGGTGTGATCACTGTTCCCATCATTCTGGAGATGGAGAGGGAAGGAAGGGCTTCTGGACCAGTCCAGAGCCCTGGTGGGGATTCCTTGATCAGAACCTGCGCCTCAGCCCTCCCCTCCCTCCTTTGTCCTCCCCCCCCCCTCCCCCCCTCCCCCTCCCTCTCTCTCTCTGCCTGCCTGCCTCCTTCCTTCCTTCCTTCCCTCCTCCTCCTCTTTGGCCTTTTCTTTCCTCCTGCTGATAGTAGACAGTGGGGGCACCGTGGTCCTTGTCAGCCAAGATGGCATCCAGCGCCCTCCCCTGCGGTTCCCCAGAGGGGGGCATCTCCTGCAGTTCCTCTCCTGCCTAGAAAATGGGCTCCTGCCCCGAGGGCAGCTGGACCCACCGCTCTGGTCCCAGAGGGGAAAGGTAAGGCCTTTGAAAGGGGGCTGCCGTTGGCCCTCCTGGGATAGAT